ATGTAACACGTTTGAGGAGCAGATCTATTCTGGGCTCAATATGGGAATGTTGGTTGAGAATGCGCTATTTGGGTTGGCGAACAACACACAGGGCTATCAGGCCCCCTACTGGTGAATGCTCATTTGGCAATTGGATCCCATCAGTTACGACGGCTGTGAAAGTTCCCTGCTTATTGGGCAAAACAATTCTGTTCATCGTTTATAGATTTATGAACCGCCTTTTACATGTGTAGGAGCAGATGGGGCTCGTCGGCCTGGGAAGGTCGTATCTAGGAACGATACGATAATCTTTATTGTCATTGTCCCATACAGATAAACGAAATTGAAAAATCTACATCAGACATTTAAAAACCAACAAGCCTGCTATACCAGCCTGGTTAGCCCCTAAAAACTCTGATACCCCATAATTGAATACAATATACTCACACAGAGACTATCTTACACTGCGTTTAAAACCAAAACCGCATTTGGATAGAAACTGTTTCTCAGGCAGCTAGTCCTAGTCGCGGGTGGCGCTGTGGGTTAAACCACAGAGCCTAGGACTTGCCAATCAGAAGGTTGGTGGTTCAAATCCCCGCGACGGGGTGAGCTCCCGTTGCTCGGTCCCTGCTCCTGCCATCCTAGCAGTTTGAAAGCACGTCAAAAGTGCAAGTAGATAAATAGGTACCGCTCTGGCGGAAAGGTAAACGGCGTTTCCGTGCGCTGCTCTGGTTTGCCAGAAGTGGCTTAGTCATGCTGGCCACATGACCTGGAAGCTGTACGCCAGCTCCCTCAGCCAGTAAAGCGAGATGAGCGCTGCAACCCCAGAGTCGGCCACGACTGGACCTAATGGTCAGGGGTCCCTTTACCTTTACCTTTTTACCTTCTTCCAGAAGGCAGAAGCTGAAAGAGATCATTTCCAGAATGCACACTATCCTGCACTATCTCTGCAGTTTTCTTATGGCACCTGGAAGCGTAGATTTGATCCAAGGTGCAAAGAGTGCACCCAACTATTCTCTCCGCAGTCTTTACAACCCTGAACAGCATTGTTTTTCCCCTGACCGTGCAGCTCCCAAACCACACACAGAGACCATAAGTTAATACACTCTCCACAGTACAATGGTAAAATGCCGTCGACAGGTCCTTTGAGAGATTGTTTTTCCGGAGGATTCTCAGAAAATATAACCTCTGTTGTGCTCTCTTCATCAGGAACAGGAAAACTCTGATCCTAAACCTCCTCTACCTTCCTTGAGGCTCTACTCATTTGTGAGGAAGACTTCAGGAGTAAATTGGAAGGAAAATCTGTACCCGCTGCCTTGCAAGAAGGACATGTTCGGGAGAAGAAAAGGCTAAGGAGTATATGCTCCACAAATCTGGAGTCTCTAAGATGGTTGGATGGTATCTCATAGGCCTCCTTCCTGCAACTCCTGCACCTGAGTTGTTGCTGTTGTTGTTGTTTAGTCATTTAGTTGTGTCAGACTCTTCGTGACCCCCTGGACCAGAGCACGCCAGGCACTTCTTTATGGTCCAGCTCTCACTTCCATACATCACTACTGGGAAAACCATAGCTTTAACTAGACGGACCTTTGTTGGTAAGGTGATGTCTCTGCTTTTTAAGATACTGTCTAGGTTTGTCATTGCCCTTCTCCCAAGAAGCAGACGTCTTTTAATTTCGTGGCTGCTGTCACCATCTGCAGTGATCATGGAGCCCAAGAAAGTAAAATCTCTCACTGCCTCCATTTCTTCCCCTTCTATTTGCCAGGAGGTGATGGGACCAGCACCCGAGTTGCAGCCAAACATATTGCTCTGCTTTCCTTTGGACCATAGCAGCGAGGCCAAGGCGGGAAGGGGAGGTATTGTCGTCTGGGCAGCCCAAGATTTGCAGACACACTGCCCAGGCTTGCGTCCAGGGAGGTCACTTAGGTGCCGCTAACGCAGCAAAAACAACACCGGAGGCAGCAGTTACGAGTTCCGGGCTCTGCAGCCACAGCAGGCGCTGTGATTCTCCAGCAGTTTGACTTTGCTCCCGGAGACACACTCCATGGTCTCTCGTTGTATGCCAACAACCTTTACACATGTGTCCTTCCAACTAAAGAGTTCTATGATTCTAGGAACATACCATAAAAGTTTTGGTAAGCTTTTTGTCAGGTGGTTCAGACATTTTTTTGTGGGGGAGGAGGTGCCCAAATAATGACAAGTTGAAAGTAAACGGGGAGAAAGTTTAATTAGATGTGATTACATTCATGGCTTATATGCATAAAGCCATATAAAGTGGTACCTTGGGTTACATACGCGTCAGGTTACATACGCTTCAGGTTACACACTCCACTAAGCCAGAAATAGTGCTTCAGGTTAAGAACTTTGCTTCAGGATAAGAACAGAAATCGTGCTCCGGCGGCGCGGCAGCAGCAGGAGGCCCCATTAGCTAAAGTGGTGCTTCAGGTTAAGAACAGTTTCAGGTTAAGAACGGACCTCCAGAACAAATTAAGTTCTTAACCTGAGGTACCACTGTACAGCTTGGGACCAGGATTTCTGAAAGATCATCTCACCCCTTATCTTCTTCTTCTTTGGCGATCACTCATAGCAGAGTAAGATTGTCTTCCACAAACATGGTTTAAGAATGAGTCCGTAAGTAACCGTGGAGGCCAATTCTGGATCCACACGTCCTTCCACAGTGGAGACCTAGGTTTCTGGGCAGGAGCTGATCACGGTGTGGATTTGCCAAGCGTGCTTTCCTCTTAGCACGTTTCTCCCTTGCGTCCTGAGTTTCCCAATTGTTGGTGTTTATACTACATTTTTAAAATTTGCCTTGAGACAGTCTTTAAACCTCTTAATGTTTAGCACTTACTGTCCCCAACCCTAACCCTGTGGAAAGCCATCTAATTAGACTTTAATTTGATTTTGACATGTTTTTAGGAGGTAATTTAATTATTGTTTCATTTTATACCAATATTATGTATCTGATGTTAGCTGCCCTGAGCCTGACTTCGGCCGGGGAGGGAGGGAAATAAATAAAAGATTATTATTATTATTATTATTATTTTGACCACCAGCATTACACTTTCCATTTTTAAGTTCGGAATAGAGTAGTTGCTTTGGAAGACGATAATCAGGCATCTGCACAGCATGACCAGTCCAACGAAGTTGATGTTGAAGAATCGTTGCTTCAACACTGGTGATCTTTGCTTCTTCCAGTACAATGGTACCTCTAGTTGCAGACATGATCTGTTCCGGGGTGCCGTTCAGAACCCGAAAAGTCCGCAACTAGAGTAGTACTTCTGCGCATGTGTGAAGTGTGCAGAATGCTTCTGCATGTGCGTGTGCGTGCGCAGGGAAACCCGGAAGTATACACTTCCGGGTTTGCTGCATTTGCAAATCGAAAATCCGCAACATGAAGCAAACACAACAAGAGGTATGACTGTACACTGGCATTAGTTCGCCTGTCTTCCCAAGTGTTGTGTAAAATTTTTCAGAGACACCATTGATGGAATCTTTTGAGGAGTTGGAGATGGCGTTTATAAGTAGTCCATGTTTCACAAGCATACAGTAAGATTGGTACTACAATAGCTTTGTAAACAAGCATTTTGGTTTCCCTGTGAATGTCCTGGTCCTCAAGCACCCTGCACTTTATACACACAATTTATCACTGTGCTCTGCAAGTGAGGGAGTCCTGCAGATGCCATCTTATATAAGGAGGTCTATCTCATGCAGTATAGGAATCACAGAACTGTAGAGTTGGAAGGGATCCTAAGGGTCATCTAGTCGAACCCTCTGAAATGCAGGAGTCACAGCTACTAATCAAGGGGAGCGAACTGTCTCTGTTGCCTTTTCACTGCCTACTGAAGATCTTCCTCTTCCAAAACGCCTTTCCAGTTCTCTCTCAGTCTACATCTGTACTGGACTTATTTTTAAGATATTCTGAATATGTTTTCATCACTTTCTGTTTGCTGCCCAGGGCTCCTTTGGGAGGAAGGATGGAAAATAATAATAATAATAATAATAATAATAATAATAATAATAATAATAATGCTCTTGGAGCACCTAGGAAAAACACTTTTGAGTTTTTTGGTGACTAATTAGCAGGAACACTCAGACTAATGGGTAGTTAGGGAACAGACAAAAGAGGATTAACATTCCTTAGGTCATTAAGGAATCAGAGAGTTTCCCTTAATGGCCTGAGCAAATTCTCCTGCCTTTGGAATGTGAGATGGACCACAACTCATTGCAAGTTTCCAGCTAAATGGGTAAAATAAAATAACAACAACAACAACAACAACAACAAAATTTTATTTATACCCCACCCTTTCCGGTTCAAAAACTGGGCTCAGGGCGGCTAACAACAATTTAAAACACTTTAAAACACTTAATTATAAAAGTGACACACCTTACAGTGCAGGAGTCTCCCTGTGGTGGATCTGATAATAATGATGATAATAATAATAACAACAATAATGATGATAATTATGATAATAATAATAATGATAATTATGATAATAATCATAATAATAATACTCTCCCACCTCTGAACAGTTGCTAGTTAGAGTCCCCCACCTTTTCTAAACGGGAAAGTTATTAGCAGGCGCCGGGAAAGGTGTAGTGAAGGCGCCTGCTCTATCTCAAGAGGCAGGGAGTTCCAAAGTTCAGACGCTGACAAACCAGGATAATAATAATAATTATAATAATGATGATGATATTCATACATGATGTTAATAATAATAATAATAATAATAATAATAATAATAACGACGATAATAATAATAATACCAATATCAACGACGACGACGACGACAATAATAATAATAAATAATAATACTCTCCCACCTCCGAACACTTGCTAGTCAGAGTCCCCCAGCTCGGTCCCCAATCCTGCCTTTCAGAGAACTACACCTCCCAGAAGGCAACGCCTGGAAAGCGTCCTGCGCATGCGTCTCCGTCAGTCAGCGCACAGAGAAGCCTCCCGAGTTCTAGAGGGTCCCGAGCGCGCGGCGCGGCGACGACTTCCGCTTCCGGCCAGCCTCGCTCTGGGCCCTGCGGCTGGCGGCCGAGCCTTGTGCCTCCGCCATATTGTCTGTGTGAGGCCGGCGAGGGAGGCGCGGTGGTGGCTGCTGCCGCCTCCTCCTCAGGTGGGTGGCCGTAGGGGCGCGGGGCGCCTTCCCCGTCCCGAATGGACCCGGTGGGGGGAGGGGAAAGGGCCCAGAGGCGGGAGAAGGGGGAGGGCGGGGCTTCCTCGACTCCCCCTCCCCCCATTTGAAGCCTCAAGGGAGGGGAGGGGGCGGCGCAGTGGAGGGGCATATATATATATAAAAATGAGAAAATGAGGGGTCTCTGGTTCGAGAAGTGCGGCTTTTGCTTCTTCGCCCCCCCATGAGGCAGCTGCATAGTATGGCAGCCTATGGGGGGGGGAGGGGAGGCTCCCCATCCTGGGTGAGGCTGCCAGTGGAGACGCCCCTGGGCGTGAAGGGAGCAGACCCCGCCCACCGAACTTCCCCCCCCCCCCGTGCACCAGTTGACCACTTGGACGTTTCCTTTTGTTGGGGGGGAGGGGAAAGAAAGAGCCCCCCATCCCCAATTATGTGAACGAAGCAGGACAGTCATTTGAAAGGCGCCCCCCCTCCAATGTGGCCCTTGCAAAAAAAAAAGGTTATCTTCTCTCGCCCCCCCCCCCCCAAGATGTGTGTTCTGGCCTATTCTTTTGCATATGATGTTGGGTGGGGAGGAAGGAGGGGTCCTGCTGAGGGTCTGCAGTGATTCGTTTGGGGGCAGAACGGAGCGGGTGTCTCCCTCCAGGGGGGCAGAGAGGGTAGATCGTGGTGGATTTGTGTGTGTGTGTGTGTGTGTGTAAGGTTGCCTTTACCAAGGATCTTTTGCCCCTTTCCCAGGCTGCATAGGAGATCTCTTTCTGTGCCAGAGGCTGAAGAGTACCTGTAAATCTCTTTATATGTGAGATCCGCAAGTGCTTGAGCCTGAGCATCTTTCAGGAGGGTCCGTTGGGCTTGTGGTTCTGGGAGCCTGTTGGGCTTGTGGTTCTGGGAGCTTGTTGGACGGTTGAGGATAGCCTAGGGTGGGGTCATTAATGCATATAATCTTAGAATCATAGAGTTGGAAGAGACCACAAGGGGCCATCGAGTCCAACCCCCTGCCAAGCAGGAAACACCATCAGAGCACTCCTGACATATGGTTGTCAAGCCTCTGCTTAAAGACCTCCAAAGAAGGAGACTCCACCACACTCCTTGGCAGCAAATTCCACTGTCAAACAGCTCTTACTGTCAGGAAGTTCTTCCTAATGTTTAGGTGGAATCTTCTTTCTTGTAGTTTGGATCCATTGCTCCGTGTCCACTTCTGTGGAGCAGCAGAAAACAACCTTTCTCCCTCCTCTATGTGACATCCTTTTATATATTTGAACATGGCTATCATATCACCCCTTAACCTCCTCTTCTCCAGGCTAAACATGCCCAGCTCCCTTAGCCGTTCCTCATAAGGCATCGTTTCCAGGCCTTTGACCATTTTGGTTGCCCTCCTCTGGACACGTTCCAGTTTGTCAGTGTCCTTCTTAAACTGTTGTGCCCAGAACTGGACACAGTACTCCAGGTGAGGTCTGACCAGAGCAGAATACAGTGGCACTATTACTTCCCTTGATCTAGATGCTATACTAATGCTAATCTGCATTTCAAAAACAGAAACAAAGGTATTATCATTTCCTCCGATTGTTTTCTCTTTGAGTAATTGTGGTAGGACAGTTTAGAAATCTAGGGTAAATATGTGAAAATTGCTGGTTCCTTTGCCCTATCATTATGGGGGATATAAGAATTACCTGGTTGGATCAGACCAAGGTCTGTCTAATTTAGCATCCTGTTTCCAACAGTGGACAACTGGAAGCCTCTAGGCACCGCTGAGTAGAGTCATCCCCAGGGAACTTGTAGAGTCCGGACTGAGGTGCTCTTCTCCCAGCTAATTCCCAAGACAAGCCTCTCTGTCTTCCTAGGACTATGGTGGGATGGGAGGTTCTGATTGCCTTGTTCCAGCTAAATGTAGGAACATTTTCTGCACAGTTGAAGAGTGCTCTCCCCAGTTACTGTGGTGCTGATACTGTGGGGATTGCTCCCCATCCTGCAGCCATCTGTATACAAAGATCAGACTAGATAGGATAGGACAGATGTGTGTACCTGAAAACAGTAAAGTGTGATATTTTAAAATTGACTCTTGATCCTACAAACTTGATTTCTTGCTGTCTGGGCTTCTGAAGTGCTTTCTGGCCTTGCTTTTTGTTTTATTTTAATGATTTGTTGTCTCTTCTTTTCATGGATCATGCCCATGTTCCTTCCTTGGTACGTGCAGTTGGTGTAAAGGGATGTCTTTTTCCACAGTGATAGACAAAAGGTATTAACTCCACACTAGGAAGTCGAGAAGCTGTATGTAAGTTAATGGGGTTAGAAATAAGAGAATGTGAGGAGCCAAAGAAACATTTCCAGTGAAAGTTTCAGAGCTTCTTACAGTGTTCTAGATTCCAGTCCTCATAGCAGTTGGGGGGGATGAATAAAAAATATTAGATTCAGGCATAAAATGTTCAGACTTTCTGATATTTCCCCATTGTTGGGTATGAATATATTTAGCAAGTGCCCATTTTAGTTCTGTTCATCTTCAGCTGAATTGGTTTCCTCCTTATCCCCATGAGAATGTAATATTACTAGGTAAGAAACACTCTTTCCCCATTACCTGACAAGTTGCATCATCTCAGTGTGGCTATATATTGGAACACTTTCATTTATTCTTGTAGGAACAGCGGGTTGGGAAGTGAGGGATAGCTTGAGAATGTTGCATGCTGCATACTGGAGCTTTTAAATCTTGGGTCTTTAGGGAGGACTTCTCCTTTCTTTACCACTAGAATAGGGAGAGATTCCTTCCCAGATTTTATTGTCAGCCCTTGCAGGAGTATGATCCCACTATCAAGTGCACATCTGCCCTGGCTAAGTGGGCATGAGGGATGCTTCCTCAACCAGCAGCATATGCAAATATCTGCCTGTAATTTGGTGATGGTGGTCAGGAAACTCCTGGTTCCAATAAGCTGTGCTAGCTGAAGACTGATCTCTTATCTTCTACTGTGTTTCCCCTTGTGAGAAGTTGATCTCTGTTGTTGGCTTGTTAGAGCTACAGGATTCTCTGCACATGCTTACCTGGTAGTTGAGTAGCATTGAACTCGATGAAACTTACTGATCAGTAGACGTTTATAGGATTGCACTGCTAATTGTTAATCAACTAACAATTTCACTGGTTGATTGCGGAGACACACTTTTAACTGATAAAGGCAAATTTTAATTTGAGGTTGAGGGGCATCCCTGTTAGTGTAAGTCTTTAGGCTAGTTCGAGTTTGTGTTGCTGTATGCCAAGAAAAATAAAGATGGCCTTGTTATCAATGAATGGTATTTCATGAGGCTTCCTATATTAAGGATTTAATGACATACAGACTTATTTAAAATTACAGTGGTACCTCAGGTTACATATGCTTCAGGTTACATACGCTTCAGGTTACAGACTTCGCTAACCCAGAAATAGTGCTTCAGGTTAAGAACTTTGCTTCAGGATGAGAACAGAAATCGTGTTCTGGCGGTGTGGCGGCAGCAGGAGGCCCCATTAGCTAAAGTGGTGCTTCAGGTTAAGAACAGTTTCAGGTTAAGTACGGACTTCCGGAACGAATTAAGTACTTAACCCGAGGTACCACTGTATAAGCAATACAATGACAGGCTCATCCCCAATACTTCGGCTGGATCTCCATCCTGAAGCTGGTGGCTACTATTTTATTTATTTAAATTTTGTACTGCCATGGTGGGAAAGGCAGGGTATCAGTAAATTCATAATTTAAAAAAAATGTATACTGCCTTTTATCCAAAGATCACAGGGCAGTTCACAACATAAAAGTACAAAGAGAACACAAAATACATCATAAAAAAACCAAACCAATAACCCCCCTCCCACAAACACATTTAAAAGGCCATAAAATGTTAATCAGGCAAAGGCCTGGTTGTAGAGAAACATTTTTGCCTGATGCCTAAAGATCTATGATAATGGAGCCAGGTGAGCCTCCCTGAAGAGACTGTCCCACAAACAGGGAACCATCACAGAGAAGACCTTGCATAGAATCATCTAGTCCAACCCCCTGCAATGCAGGTTTTTTTTTGCCCAGTGTGGGGCTCGAACACACAACCTGAGATGTAGATCCTTTGAAAACATCTCCATGTAAGTCTTCAGCACCCTAGCTATGGTTTGGAGAAGCAGAATAAATTCTGCAAAATAAGCTGATTCAAATGCACTTGGTTCACAGAATTTGGACAACAGAACACTGACTGCAAATCACAAAGTAGTGAGATCTGCAAGTGGTACAGTCAGGGGTTCCTCGTCTTTCTTTTTTACCATTTTGATAAGAATGTACCTTTTGGCCTGTGCAACCATGCAAGAAAAAACTGATTGCCCTGGGGAAAGTATCCTAAGCTGTTTGTACAGTAGAGGTTGATGCCCCGAGGAACACTTTCTTTCTTGCTGCTGATGGAAGCTAGCTTTCAAATTCTTGATTAGAATCATTAGTCGCCGCCAGAATGGAGTTTCACAAAACAATCTCAGCTTTTAAAATCCTCCTGTGCAGACCAAATCAAGCTTGAGCTCCACATAAAGCTTGCAGTGCGTTACACCCTGTGTGTAATGTAATGGATGACCTGCTAATAAACATGGGAAGCTTTCGTGTTGACCCCGCTCTAAAGCAGTGTTTGGGTGAACATTTCTGTGGCCATTGGGCTGTCGTAGAAGCACACAGAATACAGTGGTTCCCCGCAAGACGAATGCCTCGCAAGACGAAAAACCCGCTAGACGAAAGGGTTTTCCGTTTTTGAGTTGCTTCGCAAGACGATTTTCCCTATGGGCTTGCTTCGCAAGACGAAAACGTCTTGCGAGTCTTGCGATTTTTTTTTGCTCCCCCCCCTTTTTCTAAGCCGCTAATAGCCTTTTAGTCGCTAAGCCTTTAATAGCCGCTAAACCGCTAATAGCGCTAAGCCGCTAATAGGGTTGCTTCGCAAGACGAAAAAACCGCAAGACGAAGAGACTCACGGAACGGATTATTTTCGTCTTGCGAGGCACC